CATTCTAGGAAAAAGCAGAAGCCATCACTGGTCCATTCTTGGAGAAAGGGAATCTCTGGACTTTCTTTGTAAGCTCCTCTAGATTTAGTTGAGAATCTTGTTGATATTTGAAGTGCCCATATTATTTTTTACCCAAATATTACCTTTCATGAATTGCAATATAGCTGTTTGTAAATGTAAAAAGGTATGCAAAGGTTTAAAGATCAAACTGCACAACAAATAAAGTTGTGTCTCCTAAAAGTAAGAATCGATTCTGAACTATTGTGCTGAAATGAGTGTCGGAAACTCCAGTCTCACTTCCTGTTACTAATTACCTGTTAGGTTTGTTTGCATAATGCCAGCCTATGGACTTCATTGGCTGTCCCTCAAACGTCTACTCTAATCTGCCCTCAGTAGGCTCTAGAAAGGGCATGGTTTAAGGATGTATTACGTGTCATTAAGAAATTGTCCATATTGAGGGAGTTGAAATGTGATTTTTATCTTTTGATCTTATGATTTTACTAGTAATTATGTTTGTTAAATTGCTACATTTCAGATGCTGTGCAGTGAGCTGGTCAGTGATGTAATGTTCCTGGTGTGCATGTTTGCTCCACAAAAGAAAGTGGTCCAGGAAATATATGAAAATAAGGATGTTCATGATTCAATATCCAAAATTAAAGCCTTCAGGTACAATAAATTTTTTGTTTTAAATTGTTTTAACTTATTTTTTCATGACTGTCAGTGTAAATTGAAACCAGACTCTTTATGCATTTCAAATGCAGGAAGACATTGCAAACATTTCTGGAGACTTTGAGAAGATATCTGGCAAGGTGACCTAGGGCCTGGTTTAAAGGGAGCACGTTCAAACTACAGCAGTTTAATGATACATCTACCTTTTGCTGCGAAAACTTCCTGTGTATTGTACATGCATTTAATTCACTGGATTTAATTGTAATTGTATAAAAAAGGAAAGAAGTCATAATTATACTTGATTATTTTATTGTAATATTGGACCCGTAAACTGATTATTTTCAATCAACATTTAATTTTGTTCTTACACAAACATGAGGGAGTTGAAATGTGATTTTTATCTTTTGATCTTATGATTTTACTAGTAATTATGTTTGTTAAATTGCTACATTTCAGATGCTGTGCAGTGAGCTGGTCAGTGATGTAATGTTCCTGGTGTGCATGTTTGCTCCACAAAAGAAAGTGGTCCAGGAAATATATGAAAATAAGGATGTTCATGATTCAATATCCAAAATTAAAGCCTTCAGGTACAATAAATTTTTTGTTTTAAATTGTTTTAACTTATTTTTTCATGACTGTCAGTGTAAATTGAAACCAGACTCTTTATGCATTTCAAATGCAGGAAGACATTGCAAACATTTCTGGAGACTTTGAGAAGATATCTGGCAAGGCGACCTAGGGCCTGGTTTAAAGGGAGCACGTTCAAACTACAGCAGTTTAATGATACATCTACCTTTTGCTGCGAAAACTTCCTGTGTATTGTACATGCATTTAATTCACTGGATTTAATTGTATAAAAAAGGAAAGAAGTCATAATTATACTTTTATTGTAATATTGGACCCGTAAACTGATTATTTTCAATCAACATTTAATTTTGTTCTTACACAAACAATCTGTACAACAGCCATTGAATGAAACAACATTTACAGCACAATAAAATAAAAAAAAAGTAGTTTTTTGAATTACAAGTCTTAATTTCTCTGCAATAGCCTATGAGAACATGAAGTGGTTACAGATTGACACCAGGATCTTTTGCAATCACATTTATGTATCACCAAGTCGACTCTGAGAGAAGTCCTATTCAGACGGTAATTGTTACTCATGTCAACATATGTAAAAAATGTATTTACATGGCACCTCAGTGATAACTCATGGATTTGATGATTTATTCACAGTGGAGAAGAAAGATGTGATCATTATGAACCTAGGAACGCACTGCTGACATGGCCAGTTGCATGGTTGTCTGTTGTAAATAAAATGTCATACACTTGGAATAATACATTTAAATGTAATAA